GCCCCATGGTTCTTCAGCCTGGGAGCTGTGGGGAGAGCTCGACCAGAACCGAGCAGAAGGTCCTGCAGGAGGAAACCGTCCTCCCTTCAGAAGTTCCACCGTGGACCTCCATCCAATACCGGGAGGCTGAAGGTCCCCGAGAACTTTGCAGCCAAATCCATAACTTGTGCAGGCAATGGCTGAGACCAGGAAAGCACAGCAAAGCCCAGATGCTGGACCTGGTGGTTCTGGAGCGGCTCCTGGCTCTCCTACCCCCAGAGGTGGAGGGCTGGGTGCGGGAGTGTGGAGCAGAGAGCAGCTCCCAGGCGGTGGCCCTGGCGGAAGGCTTCCTCCTGAGCCAGGCGGAGGAGCAGAAGGAGCAGCTCCGGTGCCAGGTGGGAGACTTTAGGGAGCTCAGAAGAGAATAAATAGTGTTTGAATGCTTCACACCTCTTTCCCAAATTTCTCCCACGTTGATAATATATGGCAATTCACCAGTTCTTGTAGGACATTGTTCCATTGTTTTCTCACTCAGCCACACGGATGGATATTGGGAGCTTTGAGGTTGTGTTCCAAATGTAAGAATCCACTTTGTGTCGTATGACGGACCTTAATTCCGCTTCTTCTTTCCTTCCTCCTATTTGAAGTGCTGCACTGTGGAAATGAGAGATCCTGAGGGAAAGAAGAACCCATCAAATCCCCCTCAGGAGCTATTTTTCAGGAGGATCCCTTGGGAAAATCCATGTCAAGACACTTCAGGAGGTAATGGAATATCCTCTAATTCCCCATCTCTCTTACCTTCGCTCTCCCTTCTCTTTTGTAGAATACCTCCTTGTATTTTATTAATTATGGATTTGGAAATTATTCCTTACAGAGAAACAAAGAATGAAGCTTTCCGGTTTTTATGACGGAGATCAAACAGCAGTTGAAGCTCCAAATCAAGTAAGAAAGGGAAAAGAGATTAGATTTCTATTCTTCCTTCAGGAAGTGAAGCAGGTGTGCAGAGGGCTCTCTCCAGAGTGGCTGTGTTGAGCATGTAATCATGGTACTTTGGCTTACAAAATAATTTCCAGTCCTCTGGTTTGCACCTCAGTTAGGAAATCAAACTTTCCTGCTTTGCAAAGGCTGAGAAATGACTTTCCCAGAGAATTTTCTCCTCTTTGCTTTCTTCCTTTCAGCCAATGGCTCAGACTAGTAGATCAATCAATGATAGGCAGAGCGATAGATCATTTGATCCAGAAGTGGGATTACTTTGCTGAAAGGCACTGAAGGTTTTGCAGAATCAGTGAACTCGATAAAACTTCCCCAAATATTTCTTCACTGGAAGCAGTTTTCAGATTTGCCCATTTGCTCACCTAAAATTAGGACTTGGGTGACGCACAGCCATTTAACTTAGTGCATATCTCTGCTTTGGGAATTTGGGAACAATAGAATAGAATAACAGAGTTGTTAGGGATCTTGTGGTCTTCTAGTCCAACGCCCTGCTCAGACAGGAAGCCCTATAACATTTCAGATAAATGGCTGTCCAGTTTCTTCATAAACACCTCCAGTGTTGGAATATCCATAATTCCTGGAGGGAAGTCATTCCACTGATTAATTGTTCTCACTGTCTGGAAATTTCTCTTTACTTGTAGGTTGTTTCTTTCCTTGAATAGTTTCTATCCATTGCTTCTTGGAACACTGCTGTCATGTCACTAGACATCCTCAATTCCAGCAACTGTTCTTTATATGTTTTAGCCTCCAGTCCACTAATAATTGTTGTTGCTCTTCTCTGCACCCTTTCTAGAGTCTCAAGATCTTTTTTTACATCTGGCAACCAAAACTGGAAGCAATATTCCAAGTGTGGCCTTACCAAGGCCTTATAAAGTGGTATTAACACTTCATGTCATCCTGATTCTATCCCTCTTAATGCAGCCTATGATTCTGTTGGGATTTTGGGGGGCAACTGAAGCTTAGTGCTGACTTATGAGTAAGTCGTTGTCCACTAGGACTCCAAGATTCCTGTTGCACTTACTACTGTTGAGCCAGGTATCAGTATTCTATGCCAGTGCATTTGTTTTTGTTTTTTTCTAAGTGTAGAGCCTTACATTTCTCACTGTTGATTTCGTTTTGTTAGATGGGGCCCAGTCTGTTGATCCTTCTATATCTCGAGCTTATCTTCTGGAGTGTTGGTATTTCCTGTCAATTTGGTCTTGTCTGCAAATTTGATGAATTCCTCTTTATTTTTATAATAAAAGTTTTATTTAAGTTTTCACGAAACATACAAATACAAATAAAATATCTTTTTTTGAAAACAGTGTGACCCCGGGTTATCACTTCTCCATACAGACATAAACTCAATACATATTTATCTTATACATTCTATTCCCTATCATAACTATTTTCGCATTTTTTTCAATAGCTTTTCCCTTTCTTTACTTCCTACAGCCTTATTTTAAATTATCTCATTCCTTTCTTAATTTAATTACATATCTTTTTCTAATTTTAAAAATCTAATCAATGTTTTTATACTTTTGTCTGTCCTGTTTACAATTTCATATTATCTTTTCTCATAAAACAAATTTTCCCCTGTAATTACTAGACTGGAGTGTAACACCTTTGTATCTTTTTTCAAATCTTGTTTGAACATTTAAGTTACACCTTTACACTTATAACATTCATTTTCTCACCTCTATTTTATAACACATACCTATTTTCAATTGAATTCTGCTTGGTACATTCCCTTAAAGATACACACTAAATTCTTAAAAGAAAAAAGTATATATGTATATATATCTGTGTATATATGTATAACAATAGTAAATGGAATAAATATTCAAGTACAGCTCTTCTATTAAAATTAATAACAATCTTTTACACTTCTATTTCTTTTAACAAACATTACCTAGTAATATCAGTTGCCTTTCATTTTAATCATCTATATTTCATATTTTACTTATTACTGTCTTTAAATAAAAAACCAAACAATAGTTATTAATAGTAGTCAATAAAGTTATTGTTCTTATTCAAGTTCATCTTGTCAACTGATAAAGATCTTCCATGTTTCTTTTCAGTTTTTTTTAAACTTTCTTTTTAAATCATTGAGAGCCTTATTCTCTTTACAAACAAATATTCCACTACACATCAATAGAATTTTTTTCTATCACTTTAATAATCTAACATATTTTCTAACCCTTTTCTATTTCTAATATAACAATTCTATCCCATGCACCCTTGCAGAATCCTCTCCTTGTTAAATTTTAACCATTGTCTGTCTTTTAAATAGGTTTATACCTTTAAGTCTTGTACGCTTTTCCTGTACCACTACATCTTGTTTCTGTCCTTTGTAGCTTCTTTTCGTTTCCCTCTTCCCTGTCTTCTTCCCCCTCCCCTTTTTATTCCCTTTTCTATCTGATTCTCTCTTCTGTGATCCTCCATTCTGCTTCCTGATATTATGATTACTTTTCAGATTACTGTTTTTTTTGTTGTTGTTGCTTCAGTGCTTCAAGTTTTTAACTCCCTTTCCCCCCTTTCCTTTTTTTACCCCACTTAAAATTGCTTGGTCATTAAAGATGGCTTCTTCGTTGTCCCACCCTTCTTGTTCTGCCAGCATTTCTTGTTGTTTTTCATAGTTCAAGATCTCCATTTCTAAAAATTGAAATATGAAGCCAAAAGATCCTCTTTCCTCTTGTGCTTCTTCTTTTTGTTCTTTAAGTCTAATTTTTAACTCTTCAAGGAGTGATGCCATTTAAAAAAAATTTAAACAACCCCCAATTGCTTTTAGTTTCATTAGGATTCTCCATCCAAAGTTCCGGGAATCATCCAATAATACAAAACAGTTTCTTACTTCTTTTCTCACTTTCTCTTTCCAGGAGCTTTGTTATCTTGTAACAAAGTTTCAGCCAAAATCTTTTGCAAGCCTTGTTAAAATTCCACTATCGATTTTTTTTTTAAGTTCCAGGTGGCCGCCTCCATTTTCCAGATTCCACCCTCTTTTTTCCTTTTTTCCCTCCGCTGCTGTCTTTCTTTTCTTAAAATTATCCAAGAATCTTTATCCCTTTGACACTTTATTTTCAGCTAGAAATAGCCTATTAAAGTGGATTACTATCAATTTTTTATTCAAATCTCTTTTTCTTAACGTTCCAAGTCAATTAAACCTGTCAATGTGAAAGGAAAAAAAAGCCAATTCCATTTCCTTTCTCTTTCTCTTTTGCCGCTTAAAATCTTTTTTAGGAATAGCTAGTCTTTAAAATTCAGGTTCCAGGTACCTTAAATAGATGTTCTCCATTCAACCCGGTCAGTCAAGCTTTCTCCTTTAAACTTCCTCCTGCACAATCTTGTCCAGTCAGGTTCTTCTTTGAGGTGGCCATTTCTGACCACCGCTGCAAACGCCTTTGGGAAAGGGAGTAATGGCTAGCCGAGGAGAGATGCGGCTCTTCTCAACCCGGCTGACGGCTCCCCCTTCTTCACCACCTCTACGGGGTGGTTTCAGCCCCAAATCCGGGCGGCTTGGGGCATTACAGCAGCGAGCAAAGATCAAAACTACGCATGATCGTGATTTTGGTCCATTGCTGAAAAAGCCCAAACCGGAAGTTGATGAGTTCCTCTTCTATCCTCTTGTCTAAATCAATGATGAAGATGAACAGATCTTGCAAATCCTCCTCTTCTGTTCTTTTTTCCGTGTCCAGGAGGGTTTGGTATCCTTCGAGGAGGTGGCTGTGTATTTCTCTGAGGAGGAATGGTCTCGGCTGGATCCTGACCAGAAAGCGTTGCATTCGGAAGTCATGCTTGAAAACCATAGGAACGTGGTCTCTCTGGGTAAGAGTTTTCTAGTCCCCAATTAAGAAGAGAGATTATAGTTAATTTTTATTAAATAACCACTGATCAGATATCATCTTCTGAGAGGGAGAAGGAAAGGATCTGGCCTTGTCATGCTCCAAGGAAGGAAAGAGTCAATGTCTTTCTGTGCCATTTCTAATCTGTATTTTTCCATTTCTATTTGAACTTATCTATGGGAGACTGAAAAGAATGAGGTTTGCTTTTATGTGTTCTTTGGAGGTCATGTGAGAGGATTGTGTTGTCATTTGTCCTCTGGCACCTCCCCAAATTGTGTGAGAACAGAACTTTCATGCTCAGCCCATGGAAGAGCATTCTCCCAATCCAATTCAAGAACAAAGGCCTCATGCAGTGTGACTCAGAGCATCCTAGGGTACAGGTAATCCCCGAATTACTACCGTTCACTTAGCGAACATTCCAAATTACAATCAGTCCTCCCCCACGTATTGAGACCCACTCCCAAAATTTATGAGTGTTGCAGCACCATGATCATCATTCACACTTACGAATGACAGTAGAGGCGCTACAATATTCACCCTACCTATTCCCCCACCCCATCTTGCAGGGACTTATCATATTTTTCAGACTATAAGGTGCACTTTTTCCCTCCCAAAAAGTGGGTGGGAATAACTGTGCGTCTTATAAAGCGAATACGGACCTGTTTTTGGCCTCCCTAATCCTCAGCGCGTTCCGTTACTGCCCTTCTTGGTGTCCAGAAGCACTATGCAGGGCAAAAACAGGCCTACTTTTGGTCTTCAGAGGCCTCTGAGGGTCCCATTTTTGCCCTCTGCGACATCAGGAAGGCTGAGAATAGGACATGCAGAAGGTTTGGGAGGCCAAATATGGGCCCGTTTTTGGCATGGAGAGTGCTTCTGGATGCCGGGGAGGGCATAAATGAGACACGTGGAGACCAAACACTTTTATTTTCTTGTTTTCTACCTTGAGACGATGTGGCGAGCCATCAGTTCCCTTGCCGACTTCAGTGCATTTTCAGAAAAAAGAGTAGTGAGAGATACAAGAGATCAGTAGTGGGAAATCTAGCGCTATTGATCTCACGTGATCTCGCGCTACAATGCTTTAGGCCTCTGTTGATTGCTAACCAAGGCCTGCAGCAGATCCAGGGCAAAAGAGCGGGAAGGCCTCTTTGTTTTCAAAGACCTGGATGTTGTGTAGTCCTCAGTTCTTTAAAGAACACAGGCCTAAAATACTGCAGTGCCCCAATAAACCTTAAGTTTTCTCTAAATTCCCCCGTGGATGTTTCCCCTGATTATTATGAAATTCAATGGTGAAAAAATAAGGTTCTACATATAGGCAAAAAAATAAATAAATGCACAGGTACAGTATATGTGGTACCTTACTGAATAGTAATAACTGTATGAGGGATCTTGGAGTCCGAGTGGACAACCATTTAAATATGAGCTAGCCGTGTACAGCAGCTGCCAAAAATTCAACACATTTCTATGCTGCATAAACAGAGGGATAGAATCAACATCACGTGAAGTGTTAATACCTCTTGATAATGTCTTGGTGAGGCCACACTTGGAATACTGCATCCAGTTTTGTTCGCCACGATTATAAAAAAGATGTTGAGACTCTAGAAAGAGTGCAGAGAAGAGCAACAAAGATGATTAGGGGACTAGAGACTAAAACATTTAATGAACAGTTGCTCGAATTAGCTATGTACAATTTAATGAAAAGAAAGACTAGGGGAGACATGAATAACACTTTTCCATTATCTCAGGGGCTGCCACAAAGAAGAGGGAATTAAGCTATTCTATTCCTTAACTCAGAACTGATTCTGAGTGAGATTTGCATATATAGACAATTGTAAAGAAAGAGATGTTTTCCAGATATTTTCAAAGCATTCATGACTCATGAATATAGAAATCATCATGTCTATCACACCACTGTAGGCATGCAAACATACAACCTAATGGGATTTTGGAGAAATTCAGAAGGAAATTCACTTGACTTTCTACACTTTGATCTTTTTCTCTAACCTTGTTATCATTTTCATTTCCCTTTTGCTTTGAAGGTAATAATGGGCAGGAGAATCAAGATTCCTCTGAACTGTCCCAGGTGATCAATGCTAAAGATGGAACGGAGAAGTTTGGAATTCGAATGGAATTCGAAAGCCATGAGAGAAACCAGTCAAAGAATTGGAATCAGGAGAGCTCATCTTACACTGATACTCCGATGCAAGACTTTCTTGCCCAAGAAGAGAAAATAAGGAAAAAATATACTGGAAAAAGTGTGAAGCTATTCAAAGGTAAAGTACAAGTAGATGAAAACTATTTAACCCAAAACAAAGGAGAAGATGCTATAAGAAGACACAATGGAGAGAATTACAATGGGACTTTCATTCTTTCTCTTGGGAATAACTTCCTTACAGCTCAAAAAGTGATTGACACAAAAGAGAAGCCTTATAAATGTTTGGAATGCGGAAAATGTTTTAGAACAAGCAGGCAACTTACTTCCCATGAAAGGATCCACACAGGGGAGAAACCATTTAAATGCATGGAGTGTGGAAAGACCTTCGCTCGAAGAAGTACTCTTCTTTCCCATAAGATGATCCACACAGGGGAGAAGCCATATAAATGCATGGAGTGTGGAAAGAGCTTCGCTCGAAGAAGTACTCTTCTTTCCCATAAGATGATCCACACAGGGGAGAAGCCGTATAAATGCAAGGAGTGTGGAAAGATGTTTACTCACAGCAGTTACCTAAAAATACACAAAAGGATCCACTCAGGAGAGAGACCATATAAATGCATGGAGTGTGGAAAGACCTTTACTCAAAGAAGTACTCTTATTTCCCATAAGATGATACACACAGGGGAGAAGCCATATAAATGCATGAAGTGTGGAAAGACCTTTACTCAAAGAAATAATCTTATTTCCCATAAGATGATCCATACAGGGGAAAAGCCATATAAATGCATGGAGTGTGGAAAGACCTTTGCTCTGAGCAGTAAACTTAGAAGCCACAAAAAGATCCACTCAGGAGAGAAACCATATAAATGCATAGAGTGTGGAAAGACCTTTGCTAATAGCAGTAACCTAAGAAGACACCAAATGATCCACTCAGAAGAGAAACCTTACAAATGCATGGAGTGCGGAAAGACCTTTGCTAATAACGGTAACCTAAGAAGACACCAAATGATCCACTTAGAAGAGAAACCATATAAATGCATGGAGTGTGGAAAGACCTTTGCTCTGAGCAGTGGCCTTAGAAGCCACAAAACTCACCACACAGGAGAGAAACCATTTAAATGCATGGAGTGTGGAAAAACCTTTACTCGAAGAAGTAGTCTTATTTCCCATAAGATGATACACACAGGAGAGAAGCCGTATAAATGCATGGAGTGTGGAAAGACCTTTGCTCAAAGAAGTAATCTTATTTCCCATAAGATGATACACACAGGAGAGAAGCCGTATAAATGCATGGAGTGTGGAAAGACCTTTGCTCTGAGCAGTAAACTTAGAAGCCACAAAAAGATCCACTCAGGAGAGAAACCATATAAATGCATAGAGTGTGGAAAGACCTTTGCTAATAACAGTAACCTAAGAAGACACCAAATGACCCACTTAGAAGAGAAACCATCTAAATGCAAGGAGTGTGGAAAGATGTTTACTCAGAGCAGTGACCTAAAAATACACAAAAAGCTCCATACAGGAGAGAAGCCATTTAAATGCACAGAATATGGAAGGTCCTTTGCTCATAGATATAAACTTATTTCTCATAAGATGATCCAGACCAAAGAAGCCATATAAATGTATAAATGTATGGGATTTGGAAAGAGCTTTGCTCATAGATGAAATGTTATTTCCCATTAGAAATTAGGTAAAGGAATATTATTGTGATGTAGGAATTAAATACAAAGGGGGTTGACAATTAGAAACATGTTGATATAATTAACATAAAAAGTATAAATAAGCTAATACATGAAATGAGTTCCAATTATTTTGTTACTATCTTTATTATTAGTATATGTTGATATTTGTTTTTTCTTTTGCTTTTTCGTAAATGATATGCCCTGACAGTATACTGTATTCAAAATATTTATGAATAAAATAATACACTGAAATAAAATACAATAAATGCATGGAATGTGGAAAGGGTTTTGTTCCGAATGGTCATCTTACTTCTCATAAAAGGATCCATGCGCGGGTGAAACTATATAGCAATATCAATTCCACTAAGACTTATATACCACTCCACATTGCTTTCCCAGTTTACAAAGTCATCTTATTGTCCCCAGCAATCTGAAAAAGAGTATATGGATTCTTAGATGGCTTGAGATAGTGGCCAAATAACAGATTAACAGAATTGGGAGGGATCTTGGAGGTCATCTAGTCGAACCCCTGTCAGAGTTTTCCAAGGAAAGGAGCAGGAAGCAGAGAAATGGCCCAAACTACTCTGGGATCTCCGTTCGGGACTGCTTTGCGAGGAAAAGGGGGGTCCTCCTGACCCACAGAAGGAAAGAAATGCGGGGTTGGAGGGGCGTGAGTCCTGAAGGAGCAGCTTCAAAGCGGGTTTCAAGGTGGGGAATCGCCTTTTTCTCCCCAGAAGCAAAGCGGCACCTCTCCCTGGTTTAGCGGAAGGTTTTCCGGGGCTTCTCTCCTATTTGCGGGGTGTCTATGGGTAACCCTGACTTGCCCTCTCTCCCTCTTTCTCCCTCCCTTGTCATCCAGTGCAGCAGCTCTTTCTTCAGCAGGATCTACCCATGAAATGAACACATGTATGTGCATGTCAGTGCGTGTGTCAGAGGAAGAATGTGTTGTCGAGGAGGGAGGAAGGATTTTTCTTGGACTTTTGAGCTGGGAGGGGCCGGAACGAGCTGAAGCACCAATGGGAATTCTCCTTGCTGTAGCATCATCAGTCTCCGGGCAGATCCTGTGTGACTTTACCTGAAGTTGGAGAAAGGGCGTTCTGGGGACAAAGAACACCGGGCTACAGACTTCGGCCTTGAGCCGCAGGGACTGCATGGACATTGGTCTCCTAACCATCACAGGCTCGCTCAAATATCACAATGTTTACATGCGTGGAACCGGGAAAGGTTGGGTGATGTGATTAATGACACTGCCATAAGCGGCGACTCCTCTAGTGTGACCATCTTGAGCAAATTTTCGCTCTCAGAGAGGTTCGCCCCTCTGATAATTTATGATAAAGTAGGAAGGAGGGCGTTCAGGGACAGAGAACGAAGCTGAAAGTGGGAGGGGGGAAATCCCTTCAGGTTTTTTTGGGGGGGGGGCTGCAGCTCAAAGGGGGGATCATGGCAGGCCCAGAAGGGACCCTCCACTTTCTTTGCTCTCCTCACGATTCTGAAAAATGTTGGAAATGTCATCAGACACCTGGCTCATATTATCTTATGTGGTGGACATATGCGGATGCTAAAAAATACTGGACTAAAATCCACATGTGGTTGGAAAAAATGACAAAAAAGCATATAGATTTCAAACCAGAGATATTTTTGTTGGGAATTTTACCTGAAATATATAGTAAAGAATTGAAATACCTGATTGTAAGTGTATTAACAGCGGCTAGGATTGTATTTGCTAAAAACTGGAAAAATGAGAAAATACCATCACAGGAGGAAATCATTAAGAAAATATTGGAATGTGCTGAAATGAGTAGATAGACATTTGAAATCAGAGAACAAGATGATAAACAATTTTATAAAACTTGGGATCTATTCTATCAATGGTTAGACAATAGTATAGTAATGAAATATGTAGATTCTTAGAAAATAAATATCTAAAGATGTATTCTTTTCTTAGTATATCTACAAAATGATTGTAGAATAGATTTGAGATAATATAAACTGTCATAAAACAAATTAAGTAAAATATGATTATTTCGTAAAACATGAATGAATAAAAGTATAGTCAAATGATTAATAATAATATTAATGTATTTAATACTTGATTGAAAATACGAGAATATACACAATGTAATTGTAATTGAAGACTACAAAATGGAAGCACAATTTGTAAATCATCTGGCACACTGTATGAATATATATGTGGGAGATGGCTTGATGTTTTTATGTTTTGTTTGTTTATGTTCATTTTAAAAACCAATAAACATTTTTAAAAAAAGTTGAAAAAGAACAAACAGTAGCCTTGCCTAGCATAGCAAATGCAATAATATTGGCTAAAATCTGGGGACAGTGCGTTGTATGAGGAAGGGAAAGAGCTTCTGGCTTTGTGTGTGTTGTTATTGTTGCTGCTGTTTCAAAATGGGAATACTCTTAACTAAGAACTGTTCTTCCACCCTATACCCTATCCTTCCCTTAAAGAAGATTTTTTCCAGATTCCTTGCTCCAGAGCACACTTTTATGCACCGAAACCATCCCACTCCTTCTGTTTAAACAGATATTTTTCTTCCCTTTTTTCCTTCCAGCATTTATAGAAAGCTGAGCATTTTTGAAGGTCTACATAATCCTTCTGTTGTTGTGCCTTCAATCTATTCTTCTGCAGATTTTCCTGTTCTTCCCTGGATCCGAACCACTCTTCTGAAGCTGAGCATGAACTCTGGTTCTGTTCCATTCCTCCTTCCCTTGGTATCAAGAACTCAAGGGTAATATGGTCGCTTTTCTCCAGGATCCATCCGTCTTCACTTCTAGCTGTCTCCCTATTGGTAAACATTGGATTGAGAGCAGATCCCCTTATCCATTCCCTGAAGTCCTCAACAAGAGAGGAGGAATCGTCCGACTTTCAACAGCAGAGGTCTCCGAACTTGGCAACTTTAAGATGTGTGGACTTCAACTCCGAGAATTCTCCAGCCAGCATAGAGTTAAAGTCTACAAGTCTTAAAGTTGCCAAGTTTGGAGACCTCTGCTCAACAGAATTAGTATTCCAGCATAATATAGACATATATAACCATTGGTTGAAAGTTTAACACAAATTTTAAGATAAAATTTGGAATATCTCATATAAAATGATGGAAGTTTAGTCATGGATGATTAATAACTGATAAATATATAAGTATATGTTAGTTTGACAATGTGAAGATTGAATAAACTGTGAGTAATGACTACAAAAGGATAGCACAAAAGATTCGTAACCAACGGACACACTGTACGTATATAAAATGGAAGATGGTTTTATGTTTTTATGTTTTGTATGTGTATGTTTTTTAAAAATAAAAATTCTTTAAAAAAAAAAGAATTAGAATTCCAGCAGATGTCAAGAGTAGTTGAAATCATCTCAATTATTATGAAGTGCCTCTTATAAACTTTGGTCATCTGACACCAAAAGTCCTTGCTCATATATTCCACCTCCCAGATGGTCTATTGAGAATTACGATCAGTTCCATTTCTTTGATTTTACTTTTGCCCACTCTTTAACAGAATTCATGCTTCGATCAGTGAACAGTGTGCACAGGCATATTCCTTCAATGTACAGTGTAAGATTCCCTTTTGGTGACATTATTTCCTAAGTTGCTGTCTTCCAAAGCTACATGCCAATCGTAGTTGTCATTCCCCCAAGTTTTAGTGATGACAGTGATAAACGTATTTGCCCTTCTGCGTTAGAATATTAAGCTCACTCTACTTGTTTCCCATACAGATAGTCCTCAACGTATAAACATTTGTTTAGCAGTGGTTTAAAGTTATAAGGACACTGAAAAAAAATGATTTATAACACTGGTCCTCATATTTAGATTCAGCATCTCCCTAATCACATAATAAAGCTTTGGGCACTTGACAACCAGCAAGTATTCATGACAGCTAGACCAGTGGTGGCTAACCTTCGTGAGCTCCCGTGCCAAAAATTGTGCACACGCTTACACGCTCACGTGCCAGCACCCAAGAAGGCAATGCACCCTCCCTATGCATGTGCCCCCTATGTATGTGCGCGCAATCCCTACCCACCCATTCCCCACTTCCCCCTTGCCTGCACTGCGCCTCACAGCTGATTTTCAGCCAGTTTGCGGCCTTTTTCGGCCTCCCAGAGGTTTGAGGAAGGGTTCTGCAGGCTTTTCAGGCCAAAAACTAGGCCTGTTTCGTCACTTCCAGTATTTCTGCAAAAACCGGAAGTGACAAACGGGCTTAGTTTTTGTCCCGAAAAGCCTGCAAAAGCCTTCCTCAAACCTCTGAGAGGCCAAAAAAGGCCTCAAACTGGCCCAAAATCAGCTGTGAGGTACAAGCATGCACAATGAGGTAAGTTTGCCTGCAGCTCACGTGCCAGCACAAATGGCTCTGAGTGCCACCTGTGGCATGTATGCCATAGGTTCGCCATCATGGAGGTAGACTATCCTGGGGTCATCAGTTAGCCAGCTTCCAACAAGCAAAGTCATGGGGGAAGCTGGATTTAAAAAACACATTTCACTTAATAACTGCAGTGACTTGCTTAACAGCCATGGCAAAAAAAGTTGTAAAATTGGGCACATTTAACAACTGCCTTATTCTTCTTATTCTTATCCCGACTGTGGTCATAATTTGAGGATTACTTACATTCTGTATGTTGGTGTCAAAACATCTGAGACTGTGAACATCATAAAGCATAAACCAAATCACTGTTTTTTTTGGGGGGGGTGCAACAATGTTGACACATTAACATGGCAAAAGCCCATTGAAAGCCAATTCATCTTATATAAACTGCCTACCCCTATTGTTAGAAATCTTCCCCCAGCAAATTCATTCTCACTTTTGGTATAGGTTTCAGGTTTTGGCAAAAAATAAGGCAGCCAGGATTCATGACTCAGCTAAAAAAATTTTTTAGTTCATACCAAGAAGACAATGTATGTATAAAAAGAACCAGGTACGTCTAGTCTAGGGAGTCCCACTAGAATGGATATTTGCATGGGAAGTAAGCTGCCTGCTTCACTGAAGCTCTCCCTGCACTCCACACATTCATAAGGGTTTTTCTCCTGTCTGAATATTCTATGTGAAGCAAGGGTGCTGCTCTTGCCAGACGTCCATTCATTCATATGGCTTCTTCCCCC